ATGGTAAGTCACTTCTCATAGCGTGGGTTAGACCTGGAGTAAACAATCAGTGGGCAAAAGAAAAAAGATCCTTTTCGGTAAAAATTAACTTTGAAAGCCTCTTAAGTCACCTATCAGAGCAGGGTACAGAAAAACGTTGGCATTCAGTGCTACAGAGTGGTTCTTCAAGCGAACTTTGAGAACGCTCGCGCTAGATCTGAGAAAGAAAAATCTATGTGCAAACCTCAGAGCATCCCATCCCTTCTGCTTTGGCCATAACCATGGCATCCCTGGAGGAGACAGATACTGGGCAATTCACAAGTGTTCCTGCTAGCTTGTTGGGTTGACCTGGTTCTGTTCTATCAAGTCTCTATCAACTTCATGCTGCTGGCTAGGAGACTTACAGTTTGTTGTGAGGATAGAGGAGTTTATGGGATCATACTTGAGGTGACTTTAGCAGAGGCGAGGCTTGCAAGCGAGCTCCGTGGTAAATGGTCTGTGTCTAGGGTGACCCTTTATTGAGCACTCAAGAGGTGCCAGGCTTAGAGCTAAGCATTTCCCACATAGAATCCCATTGAATCTCACAATGATCCTGAGTTGGGTGTCATTACGTTCTCCAGTGTTTAGATGGGAAAGCCGAGAACCTAAAGTGCCCAGTCTAAGGCAACACAAGAGTCTAATACAGGTTCAGGGAAGTATTTAATGCAGGTCTGCCTGACCCAGAGCTGAGTTCTTATCTAGCACTGAGCTGGTGGGTACAGTGACTCACTCCCAATATTCCCTGTGTGCACAACCTAAGAAGAGAGCTCTGCGTTTGCCAGGAGAGAGTTTTTAGAATTTATTTATTTATATTTTGAGAGAGAGAGAGAGAGGGAGAGAGAGAGATGTGGGGCTCGAACTCACAAATGGAGAGATCATGACCTGAGTGGAAACCAAGAGTCAGATGCTTAACCCACTGAGCTGCCCAAGTGCCCCTGCCAAGAAAGATTTTGTTGATGCCCTGTGTTTGAAGAGAGGAGGGTCAGCCTTGTATCGTGTCCTTCTTAGTTTTGTCTTTCCAAAGGCTAAACACACCAATTAATTCCGTCTATTTCTGGGCGCCATTTTGTTGAACCGTCTCTAGTCTATCTCTGATGCTGCCTGTACAGAATTGATCACCGGGGGAGAGGGATGTTTTAAAAAATACTGTAGGGGCGCCTGGGTGGCGCAGTCGGTTAAGCGTCCGACTTCAGCCAGGTCACGATCTCACGGTCCGTGAGTTCGAGCCCCACGTCAGGCCCTGGGCTGATGGCTCAGAGCCTGGAGCCTGTTTCCGATTCTGTGTCTCCCTCTCTCTCTGCCCCTCCCCCGTTCATGTTCTGTCTCTCTCTGTCCCAAAAATTAAAAAAAAAAAAAAAAAAAAAAGTTGGAAAAAAAAGAAAAAGAAAAAAATACTGTAAGTTAAGGCCCCCACTGTAGGCTGATGGACCCAACATTTCTGGCAGGTAGCCTGAGCAGTTTTTTTTTAATTAAAAATGTTTTTGTAATGTTTATTTTTATTTTGTATGTTTATTTTGAGAGAGAGAGACCCAGCTGCTCTGGGTGAGAGACCCATCCCACAAACCCACAGGCAATTATTTTTAAATGAAATATAATTGGCCTGCAACACGGTGTAAGTTTAAGATGTACACCGTGTTAATTTGATACACTTATATATGGCAAAATGATTACCACCATCGGTGAGCTAATACCTCTATCATGTCACATAATTATCATTTCTTTTTTTGTGTGGTGGAAACAACTTATACTTAGTCTCTTAGCAACTCAGAATTTTTAATACAGTATTGCTGTCTATAATAACTTGGCTGTGCATTAGATCTCCAGGTTATTTACCTACTGGTTGCGGGTTTGTACCCTTTAATAACATCTTCCTGATTCCTTCACCCCCGAACCCCTGGTAACCACCATTCTCCTCTGTGTTTATGAGTTCTGCTTTTTTATTTTCAACGTTTTTATGTTTTTTTATTTTTTATTTTTGGGACAGAGAGAGACAGAGCATGAACGGGGGAGGGGCAGAGAGAGAGGGAGACACAGAATCGGAAACAGGCCCCAGGCTCTGAGCCATCAGCCCAGAGCCCGACGCGGGGCTCGAACTCACGGACCGCGAGATCGTGACCTGGCTGAAGTCGGACGCTTAACCGACTGCGCCACCCAGGCGCTCCGAGTTCTGCTTTTTTAGATTCCACCTGCAAACTATAATCATACAGTATTTGTCTTTCTATGTCTGACTTGTCTCACTCTGCATAATGCCCAAAGAGTATTTTTTAACTGGATGGTTTAAAAAGTGAAAACAATCCCAGCCCCCTTTCTCTTTCCTTTTAGTTGCTCTGCGTTTATATACCACCTGGTGCCCTGCTCTCTGGGCAGTGCGTGCTAACGAATGATGCCACTCAGCCCTCCTCGCCTGTGTGCAGGCACTGAGGGGTTATAATGGTGGAGTTCATTCACACTCATCTTCAGAGGGGTGTTGCAGTGTGGCTGGGATCGTTAATACCTCAGCCTGGGATAGATTTCCAGCTGCCGCCTCAGCAGGAAAGTGAACGCCCTAAAATTGTAAAGAGAAAATGAGACTGTAAAGATTCTAAGCCCCACCGCTTCCCATACAAAACCACACATCTACCCCCGGTAGGGCTAAAGTGTCAAATATAACACCAAGGTGTAAGAAGGTAGTTTTCCACCTACGAATTATTTTTAAATGCACGTGCCAGATTGCATTAATTTAAATACAGATTAATAACATGAGTAACTACAATTTAGAAATGCAAGATTAGAAAGGCTGTTAAGTAAAGGCTGATGGGCTGATTAACATATAGATCTGGTTGATGTAAGGCAGACGGGAAGAGAGGAGGGTTGAGGGAAAGCAAGATACAGAGCAAGGTATGGACGGAGGAAGATGTTTGGGCTCAGATTTGGGGAAGGGGGGGTGAAGGGAGGAGGTGAGCAGAGATTTTTTTTTTTTAACTTCTATTTAGTTCTTTTCTCTTTTTCGTCTTATTTCTCTCATCTGCCTTCATCCTTGGATATTGAGCCCAAGAAACTATCCTCTGGGGACCCTTAGGTTTAACTGAGCAATTTTTGAGGTTTTTACCGGGTGCCAGACTTTAAAGCGCTTTGCATATCTTTTACATTTTATTTAGTTCCGGGGGGGGGGGGGGGGGTGGGGGCGCAAAAAACGGGTTGTGCCTGGGGGGTGAAGACACATTGTGGAATTTGCGCCCCCCCCCCCCCCCCATACTCCACCGGCAGGTGGTGACGGGCTCAGGCTCTGGCATAACCACTAAGCCATCCTTGTGGGACTCCGCTCCCCTGGCACGGTCCCCGGGATGAACTCCTGGAGATTCCAGGTGGCCAGCGGTACTCCGGCGTCGGACAAGGGTCAGCACAGCCGCGGCACTGAAGGGCACCTCCCTAGGGCAGAAAACTGGGGAGGCAGTGAGGAGCGGACACTATTAGAGCGCTGGGGTTCCGTGACCCCGCTCGGAGGAGCCTGGCACGTTCCTAGCGACAAGCCAAGCACCGCTGACATCTCCCGGGGCGCGTTTACACTTTGCAAATCTCTCCGTCTAGAGAGCCTGTTTAATTCTCACCGCGGCCCTGCAAAGGGGGTTATTTTTGGTCCCATTTTCCAGACGCAGAAAGTGAGGCTTCCGCTCCCAGGCAGCCACAGCGTCCGGCAGGTGGTGGAGCTGTAGGTGTCTGCTGTGTCCCAAAGATAATAAAGTCGGCACGGATTTCGTCATTATTATGCAAAGCCGGCGGGGAGGCTCCGACCCTCCCCTGCAGGAGCCCATCTGTCTCCGTGCGCCGCCCCCGGGGCTCAGAAGCCGAAGGCGAGCGGGAGCGGGTGGAGACGCGTCCCCAGCCGCTAGCCTGGGCCACCTCCCAGCGCCCTGCGGGCCAGCGCCCCCGAAGCCGACCTCCCAAGGCTTAAAAAAACCACAGCCTCCCCAGCACCCCGCCCGCCGGCCGCCCCCTGGGAGCTGCATTAATATTAATCCCGATGAATAATTGAAGGCCAGAGATTTATTCGGGCCGCGGCGGGGGAGGGCGCGCAGCTGGGTTCGGCTGGGCCCGGCACCCGGCACACCCGGCACCCGGGACGCGGGAGGCTGGGGTGGGTGTGTCGCCGGTGAGGGTGAGCTTGCTGGTGTGCGTAGAGCCCGAGCTAGTGTGCCAAGGAGCGAGGCGGAGCGCCGGGGGGCTGCTCGAGGGCGGCGGGGACGGAGGGGCATCCCAGGTCTCCGCGCCCCGGCCTGCGCTTCGCCCCGCGCGGGGTGACCCGGGGCCACGCGGGCTTGAGGGGGAACAATAGCGACTCCTTAGATCCTGGGCTCCTGCCACGGGCTGCCCAGGCCTTCCCGGCGACCAGCGGGGCCTCCTTTCTTATTTCGCTAATTTATGGCGAGAGGCCGGGGGGTGTGGGGGGGGGGGGTTGGCGGGCCGGGGGGGGGAGCGCGCCTGGGGCCGGGGGGCGAGGGGGCGGCAGTTAAAGGAGTCTC